GGTGTTCAATTAGATTCCAAACTAAATTTTTGCGCTCATTTTGATTATGTGAATAACCAGGCATTTAAAATGTTAGGCTTCATTATTAGAACCACTAGATGTTTGAATAACATTAATTCCATCAGACTGATTTACAATTCCCTAGTTAGATCTGTTCCTGAGTATTGCTCAGTCGTTTGGTCACCCACTTATGAAGTCCATATAGCCAAGCTTGAGAAAGTCCAAAATAAATTCATTAGGTACTTAAGTTTTAAATTACACAAACCTTTAAGCGACCATTCCTACTCAGAAATTAGAAATACATTAAACCTTCCTAGGCTATCTTCCAGACGGATGTATGCTGATGTTTTGTTTCTTTTTTTGTGTGTTTTGGCTTGGACAATTGTCATTCAGCCAGTCTCAATCAAGATAAGTTTATTAATGTAGTGTGTGTGTGTGTGTGTGTGTGTGTGTTTGTGTGTGTGTAGAGTAATTGTCTTGATACTTAGTAAAGTCGACGTCATTGTCTTTGCTAAGAGACGCTAATTGTATCCGAACGTCTGCGGTCCCTCCGGTGAGTACCGATCACACAAGGATAGAAATTATTTTCATTTATTATTATTTTTTTTTTTAATAAACGAAAATTTGTACCCAGGTGAGATTCGAACTCACGACCTTTAGGTTTAAAGGCAGGCGCTCTTACCACTGAGCCACAGAGGGGGTTATTTTGTTTCTTCATAAACTACTGAATTCAAAAATTAATTGCAACGATCTACTGTCTCTAATTGACTTTAATGTTCCCTCTAGAGTTACTAGAACATCTCATAATTTTGCAATTAAATTTCATTTGGTAGGCATTCTAACTTTGGTAGGCATTCTCCACTGAGTAGAATCATTCTAAATGGAAATAGAATAGACTTTGATTTGTTGCTGTGCGCTTCGGAAAATGTCTGTAGAATGTGTTTAAAAAAAATTTTGTAATTTTATGTGATTTATGTTTGCTATGTGCTTTATATAATTTTAATATTTGTTTTTTTTTTTCTATATAGCTGCATCGCCAATTCATTTCATACATATTTACTATATCTTTATAATTATTGTATCATTAGATACTTGTAATACTTTGTGTATATATTAAATTGGGTGGTATCCTGTTAATAAATAGATAAATAAATAAATCTTTGTTTATTTTGCCGCCAACGCTGCCATCAAAGTTTATGAGACCGAACCATTTCAATATTTTGTTATTAATGATAGAATTTAATGCATTGTTGATCTCGTTCTTTGTTTTAATAAGCAAAGTTGTGAAAAGGAACGTTTCCAATAAATTTTCGTTTGTCCGAACATTTACATACAAAAGTTTGTCCAAACTATTTTTTTGTGGAAATATCTGTTTATGGAAAATTTCATGAATTAGCTGAAAATTAAGAACAACAACTGGAGATTATCAAAGTTTTGAGATTAATAACACCAATTATACTGAAAACATGAAACTTCATTATATGATGGTTTAGAAAAGACTTATGTAAAAGTCTTTTCAGTTAAATTGGCTGAAACTTTGCAAAGAGGTAGCTTTGGTCATGCTGATCAAAAGTTCACATTGTCCCAAGACTTAGAAATCGATTGCTTCTGAGTTACAGATGTTCAAAGGTTATTAGTAAATTTGAATAATACGTATTTGTATAATATACAGGGTGTTTGTAAATAAGTGCAACAAACTTCTAGGAGTGTTTCTTCATATTTCCCGTCACGCTAAATATTATTTCGGGCCCGCGCAAAAGCATTATACCGAGCTATAAGAAGTCTTCCAAAATGGGCATTAACTACTTCTTAAAACTAAAACTTTAACACCCCGTCTCTTGGAAAACGAAGAATTTGCGGACATACGTTTATATAGGAAATTGCCCTTTTTTTCATGCAAAACTGCTCCCTGAAGTTTGTTGTAGTTATTTACTAACACCTTATATATTATACAAATATGTGTTATTCAAACCGATTAAAAGCCGATACCTTGAAACTCTGTAAGAAGTGTTGGGGCAATGAGAACTTCTGATCAGTATAACCAAAGCTACCTCTCTTCAAAGTTTCAGCCCATTTAACTAAAAACACTTTAACATAAGAAAAGTGCTGGGGTCCTTTGAAGCTGTAAAAGGTAATATTTTAAATTAATATTATTCCAGGAATAATTTAAAGTAAGTACAGTACGACAATTAAAAGTTTATACTGAAAGAAATATTTAGCAAATTAAAGCGATGAAGTATTTTATGTTATTTTGGTAGAGGAGCAGTTACTTTTATAAAGCAATAAGCAGAAGTACATTAAAATTGCATTGTTGTAAAGTGTATCTGTTGTATATACATTTCTTGGAGTTCCAACCCTGTAGCATAAATTAAGCCATCCTTGTGATCAAACTTTCTGTATATAATAAAGAGGAACCAGATTGCTATAATACATAGTAACAATCAAATCCAATCCAAATTAAAATTTCAAAACGATAAAATTTTAATAAGTTGCTCAGCTATTGATAAGATTTAGACCATTAGGAAAACTGTAGGAAAAGTAAAACCGAAGAGTATAAATTTTTAAGTCTTTCATAGACAGTGAAAGAAAGATATCGTCGCCCGGCATACAATACCACAGAATAATAAACAATCAGAATGCCCACTCTCAGATGCCGCCTTTGATTTGTGAGGTTATGTTATTGTTTATATTTATGTTTAATTACATTATTATTTATGTTATTATATTTAACACTGTTAATATAATTGTATAGTGTGTAACTAAGTTAATTAAACCGGGTTAATTTTTCTATGCACACCACATAAACAACACTGGTTCCCTCTAAAACATGGCGGAACGTCTGCGCGAACGAGATGCGCGTACTTAATTTTCCATGGAGAGTGGGAATTCTGATTGTTTATTATTCTGTGACAATACCTTCAATAACCTAACCTAACCTTCAATGTAACATATGTCTAAATTTACACTAAAAAAGACGCCTTGAAGTTTGCATTGTCTTTGAAAGTACTTTATATAGATTTTTTAAACTGTGTTACATATGGCTTGTAGATGCGACAATCTTTTGATTATAGGTGAGCGGTTTAAATGGAGTTTAGGGAGGCCTATGTACAGCAGTAGACGTGATAGATGAAGGCTGGATGATAATGATGGTTTAAATGAACTGAAAATTGTTATTAACAAATTACTTCTCGAATCGTTTTGAGTAAAATTTTTTTAAGCGTATCTCATCGAAATAAATACCTTTTCTATCAAGGTAATTTTTCGAAAAATGCTTCCTTTTCGAGATATTTGCGATTTTTTGTTAAGAAAATGCCTTAATTGGTGAGTTTTGGAATTGTTTTTTTTTTTAAACACTACTAAACGAATTGCAATTCTATAAAAAGCAATTTTTCGAAAAATGCTTCTTTTTCGAGTAAGTTGCGATATTTTGTTTAAAATATGCCTTAATTGGTGAGTTTTGGGATTTTCTTTGCGAAACCACTTATCATTTTCAAAATATTCTTACTTGTACGTGAAGGTTTAAAGATTATAAAGCTTTTTGTAGCATGGTAATTTATTTAGTAGTTTTTTAGAAAAAATTACAAAAATCACTAATTAAGGCATTTTTTCAACACAAAATTTCAAATGACTCGAAAAGAAAACATTTTTTGAAAAATTACCAAGAAAGAAAAAGTATTTACTTTGATGAGATATGACTAAAAAAATTTTACTCAAAGCGATTCGATTCGAAAAAGTTAATTGTTGGTAACCATTTTAGGCCCACTTGAAAACATTAAAAAAAAATACATTTACACTTGAAAAATATACAGGGTGGTCCTTAAGTAATTGTACAAAAAAACCGTAAATTCTACACATTAAAATATTGCTATATTGATTTAATAAAATGTGGATATTAAGAAAGATACAGGGTGTTAAAGTGGAAATTTAAAATTTAATTTTCGCTTTAACTTTTATGTTTGTCAACATTTATGTATCAAAATTCTAAACTGTATCAAAAACATAAATGTATCAAAATTCATAAGTTACCGGTGTTTGTGATAAAAAATATTAAAGATACATTATTTTAACAAAAAAAGGTATACTGGTTAATAACTTCAAAATTCAACAGTTTTCGAGATAATCGCATTTTACAAATCAACTACATAATTCTGATTTGACGCAATTAGTCCAGGCAACGAAGGAAAATAGATAAAAACATCAATACTTCTGAATTTTTATATAATTAGTACCCAGTAGTGAATTTTGATACATAAATGTTCACAAACATAAAAGTTAAAGCGACAATTAAAATTTTAAATTTCCACTTTAACACCCTGTATCTTTTTTAATATCAACATTTTATTTAAGCAATTTGGATTAAATCGTAATATTTTAAAGTGTAGAATCTACGGTTTCTTTTTGTACAATTACTTAAGGACCACCGTGTATAGAATAGAATAAAAAAGGTTTGATGCGGTAGAAATGTAAAAAAATAGTCGGTATATTTCGTTTCTAAGCGTCTTTTTAAGGGTAAATCGCTCGCCTATTATAAAAAGCTTGATTTAGACAATGAATGTATTGCACATCCGGCGACAATATATTATAAAATAGCTAAAAAAAGTAAAATATTTCAATCATATTAGATGTATCCGATGCAAAACTAATAAACTATTAAAGCATGAAAGGGGTGAACATATTGACAAAAAGGATCCTGGAGTGGAAGCCCTATGATAAAAAGCGAAGTGTCGGACGACCGACAACGCTATGGGGATGATTTGGTAAATTGAATAAAAATTGGCTCAGTGTTGGGCACATTAGCTGGTGATATAAGTAAGAACAGCAGTGGAGGCTGGATGATAACGGAGCCGAACACAGCGGATTGATTTTAGACAATTGAGCAATCTGATTCCTCACTTGTACTAATTATATTAAAACATTATTCACTTATATTAAATTTTAGCGGGCTAGACGATTTTTGCATAACATCTAACGTATTACAAAATAATAAATTGAATAGTTTTGAGCAAACCTTTAATTTTCTAAACAGCCCAAGAGGAAAACTGATTTAGATTTAAATAAAACAACAATGCCTAGCAAACATACAAAATATACAAAAAGGGAATAAATGTACATAAGTTAAATTACAAATTAAATAAATATCAGTTGCACTCGGTATCACTAATTTTCGATACTTCAACATCCATTAAAACGTCTAAAGGAACTTCTTCGGTTGTTATTTCTTCAGATAAGTGGGAGGTAAGACTTAGAGAATTTTCAAATTCGGCTATTTCATTTACATCGAACTCCATCTTTTCTTCCACTTTTATATTTTGTTCTAAAAAAAGTTAAGCGTTTTTAAAAGAAGGCGTCTACCACATTTCTCCATGATTGTCTAGAAATTATTAGAGATTCATCGATAATTCATTGAATTGGCTATGCAAGACTTGCTGGTTAAGTTTTGTAAACTGAATTTTTCAAGTATCTCTAATAAAAATAATATTTAGGATTTAGATCGGGTGAACGTGGAGGCCATTCAATTCTACCTTGTCTACCAATTTATCGTCCGGGAAATATCTCATCTAAATAACGCCAACATTTACACCAACTATCTGACGTTAAATTTCTTTTGATAAAAAATGGCCCAATTAAATAAGTACCTACTATAACTGACCATACATTTAATTTTTGTGGTCTTTGAGTATGGTTTTCACGCATTCAGTGTGAATTTCACACGAGTTCAGCTATTCAATACGAGTTCAACCATATGTTCACTTGATTTTATGTAGTCTGAAAGATCTTAAATATATAAAACAGTGCAAAATATGTAGATTTTAATAAATTTAAATATTTAAATGGAGAATGCTGTGATTTTGACATTTGTTTACCATTTAAATTATGAACTAAAATTGACAGTAGTTGTGGTTCAAAAAGTTCTGCAATTTAAATTGCTTCTCTAAAATGCCGTTCTCTAAACCGTTCTCCTATTCATAAGACGACGGTACAAAAAACTGTAAGGCGATTTGAGGAATCTGAAGAAGTAAAAGATAGATACCGATCAGGTTGACCGAAACGAGTTATCAATGATAACAAAACTTCAGATATAAGCAAAGTTTTGTTAAAGATCCACATACATCCCCAGGCAGGGTTGCACAAGTACATGATGTAGGTCATTCTTAAGTCTTACGTTTATTACGTAAAAATAAATTTAAATCATACAAAATTAACTTATTGCAAGAATTAAGTGAAGATGACTTTGGTCGTAGATTAGAGTTTACTGAGGTAATGATGGATAAAATTAAAAATTATTAAAATTTCGTTAACAGAATATGTTTTTCCGATGAAGCAACTTTTACACTGTGTGGAAGTGTAAATCGACACAATTTAAGGTACTGGTGTGACGTAAATTCACACTGAAGACTGAATGCGTGAAAACCATACTCAAATACTACAAAAATTAAATGTATGGTCAGATATAGTAGTTACTTATTTAATTGGGTCATTTCTTGTCGAAAGAAATTTAACGTCAGATAGTTGGTGTAAATGTTTGGCGATATTTAGATGAGATATTTCCTGGACGATAAATTGGTAGACATGTAGACAAGGTAGAATTGAATGGCCTCCACGTTCACCCGATTTCAATCCTAAAGATTATTTTTATTAGGGATATTTGAAAAATTCAGTTTACAAAACTTAACCAGCAAGTCTTGCAGAGCTAAGGCAACGAATTATCAATGAATCTCGAATAATTTCTAGACAATCATGGAGAAATGTGGTATACGCCTTCTACCATCGACTAGGGTGCTGTCAACTCACAAATTGAGCACATTTTGACCACTTAATAACGTAATTACTATGTTAAAAAATGTTCTAAACTATCAATTGTTACGTTTTAATGTATTTGAAAATAATTAGTATTAAAAAAATTATTGAAACAATTTAGGCGTTGCCAGATTTCGGTTTTATGTATTTATGACCTTCCAGATTACATAAAATCATAAGTGTTACATATGGTTGAACTCGTATTGAATAGGAGATTCCAATAATGACTGAATATACAGGGTGATGTATTTGAAAAACCAAAGTTACTAATAATATAAGAAAAACCTCAAATCTGGCAACATTGTAAATATCAAATATGGAATCTCCGTGTCCCAAAATAGGTGTACCTCAAATTTTGTACAATTATGATTAGCATTTTACGAGATAATTAGCTGTTTCCAGACTTTTGGGCCACTCTGTATAAAGATAACACAGCTATGGTAAGATGTAAAGGAAAACTATCGCAACCTAAATAATTCGAAGATACGGCGCTCATATACAACATGGTGATCTCAACAGAGAAAACTAAACCGATAGTGATATCAGCAGAACCGAGACGATAAACTAGTCGTAAATAACAAAATAATAGAACAAGTGATGGAAACTGAATACTTGGGAATAAAACTGTAAGCTACGGAAAAGTGGAAGAAGTTTAAAAAACAAGTGAACATGGCAAACAGAACAGCAGGATGTCTCAACAACACAATCTGGAGAAACAAATACTCACAACGAAAACGAAAACCAGGATATATAAATCAACAATAAGACCGATAATGACGTACACAGCGGAAACAAGAGCAGATACTGCGAAAGCATAAAGACTGCTGGAAACAACAGAAATGAAAGTCTTGCGAAAAATAACAAACCAAACTCTAAGAGACAGAGTAAGAAGTGAGGAAATACGAGCGAGATGTGGTATAGAGGAAATAAACGTGTGAACCAAAAGAAGAAAAGTGGAATAGAATCAACACATCGAAAGAATGACAGAAAATAGAATAGTACGAATAGCAAGAGACAAATCACCAAATGGAAGAAGATCTGACGACTGAGGAAAAGATTGGGATTATTGATAAAGTGGGAAGAAGAAGAAGAAGAAGAAGAAAAATACCCTAAAAAGATGAATCAGTAGTTTCTTAGTCAGTTATGGTAAAAAATTATGTGTACAGTGTACACAGTTATACATATTAGTAAATGAACTATGATTACTTACCAATATCATTACTTATACAGTCTTCTTGGATTTTGTCATCTGTTATTGAAGTACATTCCACATTACTTTCACATATATCTATTTCCTCTAATTGATCACTCTCGTTTTCACTCCCCCCTTTATTTTGAGAAATATGGAACTCTGCAATTTTTGAATCATAATCCTCTACGGCATTTTCTTCAGCTATTACACCCGATGCTTTAAGAATATCTTCCAAAACAGATGATTTTCCATTCTCTCTATTACAGATTGTTGTGGTCGTGGACGCGCTACTACCAATTTCAGCTCCTGATTCCTCTAATTTAACATCAGGTTTTTCCATTTGTAATTTGCTTGTAGTAATAGTCGGTGTAGTCGTAGATTTAGATACTTGAGTTGAATTCACAATGTAGAGAGGCGATGAAGTACCAGACATTGACTTCCCTACAATTTTACCTCCTAGAGGCACTACTTTAATACTACCCTTGGAGCTCATTACTTGTAATTGGGAAAGAGGAATAACTTTTTTAGTAGCTGGATTAGTTTTGACTGTCACAACTTTATGTTTAACAGAATTGGCTCCGGAATTGGTTACATTAGTTAAATGTAAATTTGTTGAGGTAGAATTGCTGGTAACAATTTTAAATTTATCTAATTTTTTTATGGATATATTTTTAACGAAGGGAATTTGAAGTGTCCTTTGTAAAATACTGTTGGAAGGTATCGTTTGGGCATTAGATACTACAATTAATTTTTGACCAGAGTTAACAGTTTTCGTTATAGGCGTTTTAGGTGTAATTTTTATGCATTTCTGAGGTTCAGTGCTGGGGCCCGCGGTTTGGGGTGACACTTGTTTAACTGTAATGCTAGCGTTGGGCTTGACGGTCGTTATTACTTTAGGCTTGGGTGCCTGGTTTTCATTGGAACACAACGGTACTTGTGGAACTATGGAGTGTTCCGGTGTTTCAGAATTATTGCCATCAGTCAGTTCTTCATCGGGTAATTCTTCTTTGACCGATTGCAAACTAATGTTTTGGAGAATGTGTATTCTTTGGTTTACAAATTGTGACTGTGAAGATTGTGAGGATGAACTTAAGCCTGTATGAGACTGCGAAAATGAGTGGATTGATCCCGGGTGGATCATTCTGTGTTGAACCAACTCAGAATGTTCATGGTCTACTTTTTTAACAATTTCTTTTGGTTTTAGTTTCGTTCGTTGCCTGAAATAAACATTAATAAGGTTTTAATTTGCCAGAATTTACTATAAAACATTACCACTATCATAACTAAAATAAATACAAATTATATTTCTATAGTGGTTTAAGTCTTAAGTGGATGTCACATAATTTCTGTCAAAATGTGCATTTTTGCCATGATACTATAACAAAACAAGATAAGTCAACGCGCATGTTCTTGTGACGTAAGCCTGAGACAAGTTGTCAAAATGCCAAATTGACAAAATTAATGACAGCAAGTTAAACTTTAAAATTAAATTAAAATTTTTCATTTGATGCAATTCTAGTTATATAAATAAAAAGAATTTATATTAATAACAGCAGAGAATTAATATATCAATAGTAAACAGCAGAGTAAATGTTTCTATAGATAATAATATATACTAATGCCCATTTTAATAGAACTTGAAGTAATACTTTATTTTTGATAGGTCTTTAAAAAAGTTACTTTGGATGTATGTAGTGAAGTGGAACATATTTTTCGTAGTTATAATGGCGACACATTAAAAATAACAAAAAATTGTTTAAAAAACTTAATAGAAGCTGCAAAATATGTAAATGTTAGTGAAGATGTAAAATTACTTTTTTTAGATGTAAAATGTATTTTAAAGTACAAATTCTAAATCAAAATATTAAAGATAATTACAATACTACAAAAGAAAAATCACAAAGATTGTAAAATAAATGTCTAAATAATATTCATAAAGTCTCAAGTTTGACCCGCTTTTCCTTTATGGTCAAATTCTTTACATTTTGCCGGCCTTTTATATTTAATTTATGTTTTGTATCAATATTTATTTTGTTTGAATACACACAATCAAATCGTAGATTCATATATTTCTTTAATTAATTTTACAAATTACTATTAATTTTCAAAACACGTTTTTACAGAAAGTAACTAGTTATGACTAACTATTAGTGCAAGATGTGGCATCGAGGTATACTTACCGTTAACAGTTTAAGTTTTGAAGTTGTTCATTACAGTAATGGAACAACGTTGCCATATGTTGCATCGTTAAAATATGATACAAACAAGTCCTCTGGCTTTGTCTCACCATGATGACATGCGCAAAGTCGATCAAAATTAGAACGGCAAGTGAGCATCTCTTGTTTGTTATAGTATCATGCATTTTTGTCACATATTTCGTTTAATAAAATTATTTTTCAAGTTGACAAAAATCTAGTTATAATTGGTAAAAATATTGAAAAAGAAAAATGATAACATATAATAATATAATTATATATGTGATATGAGTTAAATATTAGAGAATGCCTTGTGGGCATTCTCTAATATTTAACTCATATCACATATATAATTATATTATTATATGCATACAATCAACTTCTAGTTGATGGTATTTTGTCTAGTTGAGTGCCAGAGTACAATGTAATCGCACCCAAGCTACTGAAGTAACTACTGCTCCTACAGAAATATTACTGAAGCTAGTAGTGACATATATAATAACTGTCAGAATGGGACCACTACGGTGTAGGTAGAAGAAGGTGTGGTATAGTAGAATTTAACAGGATATCTAACACATTTATCAAATAATATTTTCAGCGAATAGACAAAGATAACAATCATATTTCCCCTATGTCTCCCCTCCACATTAATCATACATGCCCATTAGTAAATGGGACGATTATTTCCTATCCAGCTTATACCTAAGTAACAGCAGCAAGGTTGCCTTATTACATCTCTTCTTTGTCAACCATTTTCCAACCACTCCTGAATGTAGGTCTCTCCCAATTGCTTCCATCTTTCTCTATCTTGCGCCAATCTAATCCACTGTTTGCCTGCCATTGCTCTTATGTCATCTACCCATCTTTTTTGAGGTCTTCCCATGCTTCTTGTTGTCGTCCTTGGTCTCCATTCTAGAATTCTCCGTGTCCACCTGTTGTCATTTTATCATATTTCATTTTTGTAATTTCTTCGTCAATATCCCTAATCTTCGTTCTACGTCTTATCTCGGTATTTCTAATCATGTGTCTTAGTGATAGTCCAAGCATGATTCGTTCCATTGCTCTTTGCGTTGTGTCTAATTTTTTACAGATTTTTTGGTAAGGGCTACTGTCTCCAAGCCGTAGGTACAAACTGGTGTACACACCTTTTTCTTTAAGTTTATAGGAATGGAGGTGTTTTTCAAGATATGTGCTAGTTTGCCGAAAGCGCCCCATGCCAGTTGTGTTCTTCTTTTAATTTCAGCATCTTGATTTGATTTTACTAGTTTGATAACATGACCTAGATATACATAATGTTCAACATTTTCTAGGGTATGATTTTGTATTGTTATATTTGTCTGGTCTCAGCTCAGTATTTTTGTTTTGCTGCAGTTCATTTTTAAGCCTACCGCTCCTGAAGCTGCATTTAATTGTTGTAACATATCATTTAGTTCTTGGATATTATCGGCTATAAAACTATGTCATCTGCGAATCTCAAGTGGTTTAAGTATGATCCGTCGACGTTGATAAGCTTATTGTTCCATTCCAGTTTCTTAAAAATATCTTCTAGAGCAACGGTAAATAGTTTGGGAGAGATGGTGCCTCCTTGTCTTACTCCCCGTTGTAGTCTTATGGGATTAGTTTGTGTGCTTTCGTCCAGCTTTATATGCATGGTGGCATTTTCATATATGTTTTTAATTATGTTAGTGTATCTTGAATCTATGCGTGCATTTTCTAGAGATTCACGCACTGCCCATAATTCGATGGAATCGAATGCTTTATGGAAATCGACGAACGCCATATGAATTGGAACATTATATTCGGTGCATTTTTCTATCAGTGTTCTTACGGTATGCAAGTGGTCTATGGTATTAAAATGTTTTCTGAATCCAGCCTGCTCGATAGGTTGATAGAAATCGAGCTTATGTGTTAGGCGGTTGGTTATGATTTTAGTTAGTAGTTTATAAAGATGTGATAGCAAGGATATTGGTCGGTAATTCTCGATGTTTGCTTGTCTCCTTTCTTGAATAGTAAAATGACTTCGGAGTTGTACCATTCTTGAGGAATCTTTCCTTCATCAATTACTTTATTAAATAAAATATTTAATACCTGTTCCATTTTTCTGCCACCAATTTTCAACATTTCAACTGTAATCTTATCCTTTCCCGGACATTTATTCGTTTTTAGTTGATTTAGGGCCATTCTTATTTCATAGTCGGTTATTTCCGTTATTTCTTCTGAGCCGGTGTTAATTATTGTTCGTTCAGTACGTCGTTATTGTGGTTGTGTATTTACCGAGAATAATTTAGTGTAGAAATTTTCAATGACCTCGCTTATTTTCTTTCTGTCTCGGACGGTGACGTTTTTCTCATTTTTTATTTCTATGATTTTTCTTGTGCCGCTTGAGTTTTTTGCTTGGAAGTACTTTCATATTGCAGTTATCTTCTATTACATTTTTTATTAGATTGTTAGTATAGTTTCTATGAACGTTCCTAATATCTTTCTTCACGTTTTTGTTTAAACTTTTGAAGCTGTCTGAAGTTCGATCTGTTCTGTTTCGTCTTTCTTGTAGTAGTTTAATTGTATAAGATGTATTAGATGTTTTGGCTGTTTTCGCGTTTGAGCATATTTTCTTAACCGATGTTGTTACAGTTACGTTTATTTTATTGGCTAGTCCGTTTACATCCATTTGTTTCAGTGTCTCTATTGATTTTAGTCTTGTGCTTAGCTCTTTTTGGTATTCCGTTTGTTTTTGAAACAGGACATCGGTGGTTGGGTATCGTTCTCGTTTAATAAGTTTGTTTCGTTCTACTCTCGTCTTTGAGAGTAGAACTTTGTTTCTTCTTATTTTAATGTTCGCTCTAACCAATCTATGGTCACTACCGGTATAGAATTTGTTTAGTGCTGTCACGTCGGTGCATATGTTTTTGTTATTGGAGAGTATGTAGTCTATTTCGTTCTTAGTTTTCTTGTCTGGGTTGATCCATGTCCATTTACGTTGTTTAGATTTTTTAAAGAAAGTGATTTGTATTGTTTAATTTCTTTTTCAAGTTACAATAAATATATCCTTCATTAGTTTCTGTCACTTCAATACATATACACATAAACGATAATAGCCGATATGTTTGTTTAAGTACTCGCTTATTTGAAACTACTGTTGAACAATCAACTAGTTGAATAATTTAGCTAGTTTTTCAACTAGTTACTTGTTTACGAAAAACGGTTCAGTTTCGTTAACGATAAAAACGTCAACGACCCACCTCTAATGTATTCTCGTTACCATGTATTAAAATCAAAGTGTGCTTAGTTTGACGACGCGACTTCGCCAAATAATTTTGTATGAAGCTTTTTTATTGTGTCGTCATAATGCAGTTTATTATTTTTATTGGGAATAAGACACAATGTGACTTAATAAGCTTATTTTGATGTTTATACTTCCAATTCAGAAATCATACCTAAAATACGAAACATTAATAAATTGTATTTATTTCCGAAGTGGAAATAAAAATGTTAAATTACACTTATTGCAAAGTAAAATTGTGGCATATTCCCAATAAAAAACAGTAATCTGCTATTTAAAGCAATTCGCCCAAATTTGATTATCTTATAACATTGTTCAAATGCTACAAAGACAACAGGTCAAATAAATCCAATAAGTTTGGCAACGTTGAACTTCCCCTCTTTTATTATTTTCACTAATGCATTTTCGACGATATAAAGGCCGGACCCAATATACCTCTATCTTTTTAAACAGGTGTTTCTCACGTAAGGTCCACACCGACCATAAACTTTTACCTACACTGTTTGTATCTTTAGTATTTCCAAATATTGCCAAGAAGTGGTTGCTGGGTGACATTTGTAACAAAGGGTCAAGTGGAGATTGGTATACAGTTGATACTGTTCAGATTGGAGCAGTAAAAAAATGAGAATCTATGTTGGTACTTCCAGTTAAACTGGAACAGAACTCATGATGGGCTAACAATAGCCTCAAGGCAACTTACTGATCACTATGTGCTAAGAAAACACCGCAATACCATAGATATATAAAAAAAGATATAACAATTTACAAAATATCACAGTCAATACATAAAGATTACATTAGTATCTATTATTATTATCACTGTTTGTATTTTGAGAACGATTTCCGAAGTGGAAATTGAAACGTCAATAAACTTACTTTAACCTTTACTTGTGGCTTGTTCCCATTTAAATAGTAATGAAGATACATGTATAATTTATTTTTATGAAGTTAAAAAATAAATCCTTAATTCTTATACAGTTATCCATGCTAGTCATAAGAGACCTCTCGGAGAATTCATGGTGACATTACTTTAGTGATGGGAAGACCTGGTTCGTTTCGGTGATCTGGGTCTTCCAGGTCATTCATTAAAATGATCCATTCATAAAGATCCGTTCATATTTTTTTACGTATTTACTTTACTTATTTACTTACTAACATACTTTTTAATAACATATTTTGCCAACCTGAATGACCGATTCATCACTTCAATCACTTTTAACAAGGTGCTTAGAGCAAACACGAGCAAATTTAACATTAAAATTATCCTGGCGTTTACACAAATGTTTCCAAACAGCTTGCATTTCCTTGTCTTTTGGAAAGCTATAAAATGCTGTACCGGGTACAAAACTCTTGCACATATTGTCAACGGCACAACCATACACTGCACACCTCATATCGGGAAAAATTTAAAGCCTTGTAACACTTTTAAAATATTATTTTATTAAATATTGGCTATGAACCGTAAATGTACATAAACGTCAAAATACAATATGGCAAAATTTAGCACAAGTTGACGTCACAAAAGTCATGCATAAGCCACGCCCACATGCGCGGTATCTTATCTGTTTGTATTTGTATCATGACTCGAATGTATATAATTTTACAGTTTTGCAGCGTAAGGGTTTCGCCGTTCTGGGAAACTGAAGTCAGCGTTTGAACATCCTTTGCGGTTCGCGATTCATGCATTAATTTGACCGGACAACGTGTCGCGATCACACAGTTCGTTTCGTAAACACTAGACAGCATCATTCATAGGCATGATTCATAGGGTCATTCGAACTATAGGGTCACAGAATGTGATTATATCAATCGCGGGTCTTCGAAAAGATCAGATCTTTGTGAACGGATCGTTCATGAGCTTCTCATCACTACATTACATAGTTTATTTATGATGGTATATTACAAAAAGTATTGCTTAGACTGTCGCCTTGAAGGCACTGAAATACCATGAAAGCGCTGAGAAATCAATACTTAGTGTAGCTAGTTATAAAAAAAAAACACAAACTTAATTTCTTTCTATTAAAAAACGTCTGACTCTTTAGTGAGCAAAATTTTATACTATAAAGCATTTTTGGACTTCTTATCTTTGAATAAACTCACCTGTACACTTGCTGTATCCTACATAACTTAGGACCCAACACATTCTGATTTATATTTGTATTTTCCGGAACCATTAGCTTTCGTTTCTTACTTACATTCTCTTCTTGTTTCATAAATGGTATAGTTTTGCTAGTCTCTGGAGTTGCAAGTGCCGTCACAGGGGAAACAACTGGTCTTTTTCGTTCTGTGCTAGCTGGTGGGGGAAGTAATTTATTACATTGACTAGCGCTCTCAGAGGCATCATTGGCGACTAAAGAATACAGAGTTTGGGGAGCTTCTCTTGTCAAAAGAGGTACTAGCCTTTGGCCTTCCTTTGCCCAATCTTCACGGGATGCTGTATGACCTGTCATACTACAAAATTATTGCATTATTAGTCCTTGAAAGATAATAAGTATGGTTATTGCTGTATAAATAACTTAAGAAACCAAAAACAGGTAAACAACCTGTTAAACCAAAAATATCACAAGAGCAACAGTTATGAGTCCCTTGGGCCGGTGTGGATTGCTGTTAGCATGCGAAAAGTTCCTTTAGACATTCTTGGCGAGTCAGGTTTTAGATGGAGGATAAGAAGTAGTCTTTCTCTAAGTTTATATTCTCTGAATGTCTGTAGATTTCTACGACTTTACTAATTTTTCTAGAATAAAAGGATTTCTAGATAGAATATGTGTTTTTAAACAATACAAAGTGCTCGTTTCTTGGCAGTGTACATCACTATGAATGGGAGAAAAAACAAAATGTCAGATCATTAAAGGGCGTATTTTATTTCCTTGGATTCGGATTTTGACAAAGCGATCAGTTTCAGTGATTTTGTATGTTTACCACAAGAAGAGAAAGGCAGTGAATTTTTGACATCAGGTAGAAAAGTTTCTAGGCAAACGGAAAGTATTTTTGATGTCTCAGTTGTGAAAGATCTTGTTTATTCTGTCTATATAGGAGCAAGTAACAAAATGATTACCAGCAATATTCACTATGGGTAGCGGGTAGAAACTCTTTAAATTCTTGAAGATAGTCCTATCAGGGAAATTGACTCAATCCCTGTCCTCCGCAGATTCCGGGGGTTTCCTGGCCCGAGAAACTAGTACCTGTTTAGGGTCCCTTGTCCAGGGTTACGGATGAAGTCCACAGCGGCAGCCACGACGGAGAAGCGGAGCTTCGGTACGGTGTGAATGGCGAAAGTGACAACCCTCGATTATAGGGTTAATATAGAATCAGAACAGTAGGGCCTGATCCAGAATGGACGGCTACAAACAGCGTCTGGCCCAGAGTGGGCAGCTGATATAAAACTCACCCACCCGTCTAGCCAGCGTGCTGTTTTAAGGCTACTCATTCTTCCAACTATATAGACATGGCGAATACTAAAATGAACGGAAACAGTCCCCAGGTGGGTGGAGTATGTTATGCCAATTCCCACTCCCAGACAAGGGTCTGCCTCATGGAATCTGAGGGAGGCAAGAATTCACTTAGTACACACAGAATGCACATCGGAACATATAACGAACATATAAAATCGTCCTCATCATAACGATGAGGACAGAAGATAATCTAGAAGAGTTGCAAGAAGAACTTAAGACCATAAAATGGGACATAGTAGGTTTATGCAAGACAAGGCTTAAAGGCGAAGAAACGACTCTACTAAAATCAGGGCACACTTTGTACCAATACAATTCAGAAAATAATCAAGGTATAGGAGGGCTTTTTGGTACATAAGAGAATTGAAAACTTGGTAACTAAATTCCAAGCGATTTCTAATAGAGTTATCTTTCTGGTAATAAAACTAAATCGTAGATACATCATTCAAATAATCCACTGTTATGCACCAAATTCTTCTGCAGATGATGAAGAGGTAGAACAACTTTACAAGACAACATTGCAAGAGCCAGAAACTTAGAGAAAAACATATTACGTAATAATTATGGGAGATTTCAACGCTAAAATAGGAAAGAACGAAAATAACAACGACAACGAATATATTGGAAATTTTGGACTGGGACGTAGAAATCACAGGGGAGATATGCTCGCAAATTTCCTCAGCAAAGAAAAACTATTCTGCTTAAACACCTTCTACAAGAAAAAGATGCAGAGAAAATGGACGTGGCACAGTCCAGACGGCGAAGTAAAAAGTAAAATTGACTTTATACTCTCTATCTTCAAAGGCATTGGTAAAGATGTTACTGTAATAAATTCTGTCAACACTGGTAGTAATCATCGATTAGTTAGGTTGCGAATAGAAGTAAATACGAAATTCGATAGAAGAAAATTATTAACACAGGATAAATTATCAGACATAGAAGCACTCGAAATGAATCAAGAGGAATATCAAAGTGAACTAAAAACGAGACTAGGACTTCTACCAGTATTCAACACGAAAGATATAAATGAAATAACATAAAAATTAACGAATGACATACACTGCAAAAAAGATCTGTGGTAAAAATAAAAATCCTAGAAAAACGAAATTGAAACAAACAACACTGGATTTAATGGAAGAAAAAAGAACATCGAAAGAATCACCAGAGTATAAGGCTATCAACAATAAAGTTAAAAAGAGCATAAGATCAGACTTGCGAGCCTATCAAACAAAACAAATATTGCAAACCATCCAAAACAATAGAAACGAGAGATTAAAATCAAGTTTAACTAAAGGAAAATCAAAGATAACTAAAATCAAAAACCAACAGGGGAATACGGTGAGGGGAAAAACTCAAATAATCAAGGAAATACAAACGTTCTATGAGAATCTGTATACATCTACTATACAGAACCCCGGAACAGACCACACAACAATTCTAAACGTCGGCTCGGAAACTCTTCCTAAAATAACTTCTTCAGAAATTAGACATACCTTAGGGCAAATCAAAAATAAAAAAGCTCCTGGTGAGGATCGTATAACGTCTGAAATGTTAAAAATGGGCGGCAACATCGTTGTAGAGGTTGTGGAAGTTTTGTTTAATAAGTGTCTAACAGAAAAAAGAATATCCAGTCTGTGGGAAAACGCCGAAATAATACTTTTACACGAGAAAGGGGACACTATTAATATTGAAAACTACAGACCTAGTTTGTTGTCACACTTGTACAAATTGCTAACAAGAATAATAACCAACCGCATAACACAAAAACTTTTATATCAACCGGTTGAACAGCTGAACCAGACTGAACCAGGCCGGATTTAGAAAAGGGTTTGGTACTAACGATCACTTACAAACCATCAGAACACTAGTAGAAACAACCACAGAATATAATGTACCTCTACATATGGCATTTATTGATTTTCACAAGGCTTTGGATAGTATTGAAACTTGGTCCTTTTTGTCAGCCCTGAACGATGCTCGAAGACTCACGGTACACTACACTTATTAAAAACATTTATGAACAGGCCACATTCCACATCAAAATCAATGAAGACGAAAAAACAAAAAAAATGCGTCTTGGTAAAGGTGATACTATTTCACCAAAGCTTGTTACTATAGCATTGAAAAATGTATTCAAACAGCTCAACTGGGAGCAAAAAGATCTAAACATTGATGGTGTATGTTTGAGTCATTTGAGGTTTGCAGACGACATAGTATTATTTAGTACAGATATCAAGAAACTGGAGCAAATGCTCAAGGGATTAAATCAACAGTAAAATAAAATAGGTCTTAAAATGAACCTTCAGAAAACAAAAATAATGAGTAATTTACTAACTAATATTGTTATTGACAACGTCAGTCTTGAAAATGCAGACCACTATATATATCTTGGACATACCATTAAAATCGGCAAAGAAAACCAAATAACTGAAATAAAAAGACACATACAATTGTCTTGGGTAGCTTTCAGCAAGTTAAGTTTTATCTTGAAGAATAAAGATGACTAAAACTTATGAGTTTATGACAAATGCATCTTGTCTGTAACTACATATGGACTGGAGACCATGGTCTTTACAAAGAAAACCTTATAGCAGCTCAGTACAACCCAAAGAGTGATGGAGAGGGCCACGCTAGGGATTAGTTTGAGAGACAGGATTCGAAATATCGACATTCATGAAAGAACAAAAATTACTGATGTCGTAGAACATATTATAGTAAGGCTCAAGTGGCAATGGGTCGGACATGTTGCCCGAGATAATCCCGAAAAATGGACACAGAGATTGAAAAATGGAAACAAATGGAAGAGACCTATGTCCAGCAGTAAACGAATACAGGCTGAATAAGAAGAATATTCACTGATGATGCTGTTGATAAAAATATGACACCGAAGTGAAACATGTATTATAAAAATATTTTTATATTATTTCAGGATCTAAGTCTTTTTAAATATTTATAAACTGTGTAAGTTATGATAACATAATAAATGAAAAACATATATTTTGTAGCTTATTTACAAAGACAAGTCAAACAAAAAGAAATCTATTTTACCAGGCGCTTTTGGTTGATCACCCAATGTTCACTAATGTAGAAGGCTTCTTAAAAAGACAAGCATATTACTTACTGATATGCAATAGTATTTAATTTTTCATCACTAATGGCTCTCCTTACTTCAGCTTTATGCCTATCTAAAGAGATATTTAAAAGATAACCAGTGTCTTTTAATAATTTAAGTTTATCTGCATTAGGGTAGCCTTGTGCTCGTAAAGCAGAAACAAGTTGGGAGTAAGCTTCAAGTTCTGAAAATATTAAAAAAGCAATAGTTAGGTAAGAATAACCTAAAATTATGAAAAATTAATATAATTATCAGAGCTAAAAAATTAAATGCAGCATAAATATTATTATAATGTATTAAAAAACAACACTAATGCACTGAATAATAATAACCCTTAACTGGTGATCATGCTTCTCACAGATGTGTGTACCTTCCTAGCTTTTAGAGTATATTCGGCTCACTATTTTCTTCTTCTTCTACATGAACTACTTGTAGGATGGCCTCGTCCAAAGTCTAGATGTTGTGGCTACATTCTCATCAACTTCTTCAAAATGTGTTAGTTCTTCTGGTCTGTAGGTGATAGTAAGTTCAAACTGTTTGGTCCAAACATCTAATGGCAGGTCATCTTTATCATCAGTCAATCTTTGATCTTCCAGCCATCCTGCATGTTTAAAGAAATGTTTTATTGTATTTCTTGTTACGTTGTCCTAGGATTTACTAATCATTAGGATGGCGTCAAGAATGTTTAGTTTAAGATCGCCATTGCCATTTTTGTCAATCAATTCCATCAAAAGTATTCTTCTGTAATGGCTTTTCAAACTCTTTGATGACACTTTGGTTCATGAGCCGAAAGACACTTGTTGCGTTTGTTGACAGAACACAAAGCTCAATGTTTTAAAGGTCGCACAGTATAGGATGAGCAGGACAATTGTCTACAAGCAGAAGAATTGTTTCCCTTTAAGCTTGATATCCCACTTTCTTATCACTTTTTCAAAAATTTCCAAAGTCATCCACACACTATTATTTGCTTTATGTTTTTAAAGCAACATGGGTTTTTCGACTTCCCTATCACTAACAAATTTCGCTTCACCAAGCCTGTCATGTTAGCGGCCACTAAAACTGTAATGCGTTCCTTAAAGAGGTTTCCACCAACGCATTTTTCAGATCTAAATTTTAAAGTTCTGTTTGGTGTCATTTTAAAAAACATTCCAGTCTCATCAGCATTGAAAATGTCGTCTGACGCATATTGTGCCTTCAGTCCAGGCCACACGTTTTCTAGCAAATCATCCGTTACGGTTTTGTTAACATCAAGAGCCTCTCCGCTGAGTTGCCCGTAGTTGATCTTGTGCCACAGCTTCTACTTGCTCAGCCAACCCTCAGATGCTTTGAAATCCTCAATTCCAAACGCAGTTGCAAAAAACTCAGTTTTTGTCCTGACTACATGCCCAGAAAGTGAAATAAGGTTCATACTCTGCTGTTGGAACCACTGAAGCATAGCGTAATCTAAATCTTTGTGCTGAGTAACCTCCTATAGAGAGAACGATATTGGTATAGAGAAAGAATTAATACATTGTCCTTATGATGTATCAACCAACATTTACTATGATTTATTAGATTTAGGAAATTGGTTAGACACCAAACTGTCATTCTCAAGCCACATTAACCAAGTAACAAACAGAGCGATGAAAGTGCTGGGATTTATCCAACGCACATCTGTGGATCTGTCTTTATTTACATTTAGAAGACTTTATTGTGGTCTCATTAGGCCCATTCTTGAGTTTGGATCAGTCGTATGGTCCCCATCATACCACTGTTACATTCAACAGATTGAAAGAGTCCAGAATAAATTTTTGAGAGTAGCAGCCTATAAGAGTGGATACAGGAGAGGAATACAACTATCTGTGGGTAAGAGATAGTCTTAACTTACCAACACTTGAGTCAAGGAGGACATTGTTAGATTTATGTTTCTTACACAAAGTTATCAATGCTTTTATAGATTGTCCTCAACTCTTATCGCTTGTTAGTCTTAAAGTTCCTAGTAGAAGCAACAGACAATCAGAAATCTTTTCGGTGCCATTTCACCACACTAATTATGGTATCAATGAACCAACTACACAATTGGTCCAGAGTGCTAATAGCTTGCCAAGACAAATAGATATTTTTGACTCCAAAATTAGTTTGTTTAAAAACAACTAAAAAGTATCTTATAATAAGTTGGTTGTACATCTGTATTATTCTTATATGTTTGTATTATTCTGAGGTGTTTGTTATTTTAATACTTTGTATTTACTTTTGTTACTTACTTTGTGTTATTTTGCTTTATAAAACTTGTGATTGTTATTTTAATAATATATTGTTTTTAAGATGTAACTTTGTAAAAATTGTAAGTAAATGGATGCTGTATATAAATAAATAAAAGACAGACTAATGTATTTTGTAAAAATTACCAAAAGTAAGCAAACAACAATAGAAGTAACACAACTAACAATAATCAAAATTTGACAGTTTGCAAAAGCATTTTTCTTTATTGGTTTGATAATAAATGAGATACCATCATCATTAAACCACAATAATTAACAACAGATATATTAGCCTTAGGTATAAGGAACCCTAATACTACCTAAAAAGTCAATTTCTTTTGTTGATAAAGTCATAAAATATAGGATGTTTCATTTCTAATTTGCAGTCTACATGAAATAACCTATATTTTTTAAGGATTATAAAAAAGTTAAAGTGAAAATTAATAAAGCTAGAGAAAGATTGGATAAGGGTTGAATTTTTTTATTATTAATGATCACACAGACAAAACTTGTCATAAATGATGAAATGAAGTTTTTATGGACAATTCAAGGTACAAAAAATGTAACATATAAGATTCATTTGAGAGGAAAAAAATAATTAAAGTGAGAGAACATCAAATAAATTTGTTTCAATTAGTTTCCACTATGCATTAATTAAAAAACTAAAATATCACAAGGAAATAGTTTTAGAATAATGACATCTTACACCCATAACTTGGATTATAGATCATACATACATAAAATGTAGTTTAGAGTGGTGACAATTAGGTAGAAATGGAATATTTTATAGGAGTCTACACTTTATAAAGTTAAGAAGACCAATAACTGTAAGACCTAATTTAAACCAATAAAAATCACATAGCATAACATAGATTTAAGTCTAAATAAAATGGAACAATGTGATCAATGTTAGTTAAAAAGTGTTGTCACAAACAAAAAAGTGATCAATGTTAGTTAAAAATAAGAAAAACCTAAGCAAGGGAAATTTGCTGAAATATATTAAATATATTTCAGATTACAAGAATAACAAATACAATACACTGAAACCATAAACAAGCATTATAGGTGGGAAAATTAAAACCCGATTATAGTTGGAATAGAAATGTAACAAAAAATGATTGGGTTTAATAACTAAAACTCAAATTAGAAATATAGCTAATAGCAGTAAGAAATGGGAGACCATAAGATATTTGAAATCATGGACATAAACAAAATGAAAAATTTATATTCTAGCCAAACAAATATTGAATTCTCAACTAAAAATGCAAAACATTTATCGTTATGTTGAGAACAATAAGCCAAGAAGTATGTTGATTATAGACAAAAATATGAATGAAGAAAATACTTGAGGGTATGGGAAAATTCAACAGTTGTAAATACTCCCTGATGTAGAATGTACTTAGAATTGATATTTGATTCTGATTCACTTAGCATTACATCCTTCATTTATTTTTATGACATACATATCCAGTGTGAAAGGTCTGTTATACCTACTTGAAAGTTGATTAAAACAGTAAAGTATTAGAATTAAATTGTTTACCCAAGTTTCTTAAGTTTTGGACTGATTCTTCTTTAGTCATATCAAGTAGCAAAGGCCACATTATATTTGTTGAGGTTTTTGTGCTATGAAATAACCATTTTCTTCCAAATATAATCAAATCTTTTCCTAATTCTTGTTTGACAGCGTCTAATTTTTTAAGGTTAAGTTTTCTGAAAAATTCTTTATTTGTTCTGAACTGAAATAACGAAGATAACTATCACTGCACTTTTGATAGAATAAAAATTAATAAATATATTTGAGTATCATAATAATTTTAATCAAATAGACACAAAACATTCAACAAATATTTTAAGTTTAACAACCTGAAGATTGACGGCGGCAACTAATTTTTTAAATTTGCAATTCATTATACCAACATAACAAAAAATGCAGTGCCTGAGTTTTATTAACTACAATCCATAAATGTTTTGTTAACACTTTTAAAATAACAAGTCATTTTAAAAAAGTTATATTAAATGGATTCAATAAGCTACTGTTTTATTTTGAATCACTAAATAGATGCAAGGAATAATTATTTTAGTCTTAGTTTTAATCTGTTAAATTTGGTAAGCTTGTAAAGTGACAGTAGAAATTTCGTTTGATGCCTTGTATCATAAGCGCTAATAGTCAGTTTGAATTGATAAAAATCTTTGCTTTTTAAAATTTTATTTTAAAACTATTCCTATAGTATTAGTACGATATATTACAATTACAAAATATAGTTCCATCTATAGTTTACCTTTTGTCCATTCGTAATATTTAATTTATATGTCTAATTTATTAGAGATAAAAATTATTTGTTTTGCTTACTTAATTTAATTTAGGTACATTCTTACCAATTTATGAGTGCTTATGATGTATATATTTGTTATTATTTTCTTATTTCGTATTTCTAACAAAATTTTGTGTTAATATATAAAGACTATGTAAATAAAAATGTGCGAATTATATGCACATATAATAATATGCGCATATGAAGGGAAAATAAACCCTTCTATTATAAATTGTTTGAATCCTCAGGTTGGCCAAAATTAATATTTTTTTATCTGAGTTCAGTACCGCTTTCAGTTCGGTACCCTTTCAGTACTGCTTTTTTCAGCAAACGTTAAGCACGTTCATATAACATTTTTTAGACATTAAAAAATATATAACATGTATATACAAAAAAATTTATTATGGGTTCATGTTCATTTGTACCCAAAAGTACTTAGCAAATCTAAAAAACTAGCGCAGATGAAACATAAAAAAGCAGTTCCTTTCCTTTTAAAGGCACAAATGGACATTGCACTTCTAACATTTCCATCTTGATTTTCCTCTACAACCAGGATTTTTTGCATCTTAAAAGTAATAGCTGTGAGTGCTCTGAAAAATGTCTAGTATTATCAAATTGCATCTCAGTAAGAAGTTTAATTTCAATGTTTTGACGTTTTACAGCTACTACTAGACTAGATGTACCGCTAGAAGGTCTTTCCCGTTTTCGGTTATTGAAAAAGTTGACTTTTATGAGGGCTTCACCAACTTTCATCCTAAAGTGTAGAAGATCCATAATATCTTTTTGTTAAAATAAATTACAAAGAGCTCTCTTTAGTAATCCCTCCATACTTGCTTGTATTCTCGATCCTCTATTATCACTGTTTCCTCACTATTTTTTATTTCGTTTGTTTTGCCGTTGTATTTTTTGTTCTTAATCTTTTTGTAAAAATTTGTCGTGTTTCTGTTTGTTCTTTCCTGCATTTTTTCGTGTACCCATCATTCTGTATTTTGTCTTATCACTTTCTTGGCATTTCTTCTTAATTTTTCATATTCTTCTCTGTCTTCTTCTTTATCTGTTCTTAGCCATTTATTTCTGGCTTGCACTTTTTTTCTGTTACTTCTCTACATTCTTGGTTATACTAGCCGTTTTTTGTTACACATAGGTCTAGATTTATTAAATGTGGCTATCTTACTACTTATTTTATTGTTTGATCGTATATCTACAAAATAGGAAAAGAAAACGATTACCTACCCACCAATATGGTGAGAGTCAGCACATGCTTTGAGCGTAAAAATATACACAGAAGCACTTGGGTTAGCCCAGACGGTAACACAATCAATCAAATTGACCATGTAGTTGTGGACGCAAAACATTACAGCGATGTTATGAATGTACTTACCAGACGTGGAACAAACATTGACTCCGATCACTACCTGGTCCAGGCTAAATTAAGGGCACGAATCTCTAACGCAAAAAAGGTAAAGGAGCAAAGAAGATAAATTCGAGGTAAACAGACTACGAAACCCTGAGATAGTTCAAAAATTTGAATACAAACAAAAAAAGAAAAACTAGAAGACCAAATGAGTAGTACTGTTGAAAACATAAATAATTACTGGAATTAGTGCGAAAAAATCCTGAAAGAAGTAGCAACAACAGTTGTAGGAAAGAAGAAACAAGAAAGGAAGGGGACAGAATGGTATGATGCGGAATGCGCACAGGCAACTCAAAAAAAGAATCAGGCATATGGGAAACTACAAAACAGAAGGACAAGACAAAATCAAGAGGAGTACAAACAGATGAGACAAGCAGAGAAAAAGATACTAAAACAAAAGAAAAAACGACATTTAGAAAACTAGCTACAGGAACTAGAAAGGCTCAATTCACAAAGCGAAGCGCGAAAATTTTATAAAAATGTGAACTACAACAGAAAATAATTTAAACCTAGAATAACCATAATAAAAAGTAAGGAAGCCGAAATGATCAATGATCCAGATCAAATAGTGGAGAGATCAGCGGAGAATTTTGCAGAGAAATTAAATATAGGCAACGAAGAAGTGACTGACATAAATGACCACAGTGGAGACGTAGACGATGAGAGGGAAAAATTAATATACCAACAGAAGAAGAAGTTGCCAAGGTAATAAAAAGGTTAAAAAACAACAAATCCCCTGGAGAAGATGGTATACCCCTGAGCTGTTCAAGTATGGAGCAAACGCCCTAAAATAATACATAATAAAACTTGTTGCATCCATTTGGAGAGAAGGAAAACTCCCAGACAGTTGTCTGGGAGTATTATAATACCTATTCACAAGAAAGGAGATCCACTAATATGTGACAACTATCGAGGCATTACCCTCCTAAATACGGCTTACAAAATATTGGCTTATATACTTTATGATCGTTTACTAGTATATACTAAGGAAAAAATAGGCAAATACCAATGTGGATTCCGAAAAGAAAGGTCAACAATTGATCAGATTTTCCTTCTCAGACAAACCTTAGAAAAGACATATGAATATGGAATTGATACTCACCACCTCTTCATAGATTTTAAAAGCGCTTATGACAGTGTAGACATAAGCGCACTTTATAATGCAATGGCAGAACTAGATATTCCGTCGCATCTAATAACATTGGTAAAGGCAACTTTTTCGAAAGTTGAGTACAAAGTCAAGGTACAAAACAGAGTGTCAAGGTCTTTTCAAACACATACTGGATTACGCCAGGCAGACAGTCTATCGTGCCTATTATTTAACATCGAGATATAAAGAGCCATAGAGAAATCGGGCATAACAACCAGAGGTACGATCATCAATAGAAGTGTATAGATATTGGCCTATGCAGATGACATTGACATAGTAACACGGACAAAAAGAGACTGTATGTCAACGTATCCAAAACAAAATACATGAAGGTCACGAAGAGCACACAAATAGCGGCACCAGAAGATCTGGTGACAGAAGCACACACATTCGAAGAGGTCTCGGAGTTTATATATCTTGGAACACAACTAAATAACAGCAACCTAGTAAGTGTAGAAATTAAGAGAAGAATATAACTGGCGAACAGAGCTCACATTGGACTAAAGCAGTTTTTAACATCACACATAATTAGCAGAAAAACCAAGATACTAATATATGAAACTTATTAAACCTGTCTTGACATACTCATCAGAGACATGGACTATGGTAAAAAGCGACGAAGAACTGTTAGGCCGCTTTGAAAAAAGAATACTTAGACACGTATACGTAGGAGTACAAGAAAGCGGGATATGTCGCAGGCGCTACAATTTTGAGTTGTATCAGTTGTATGAAAAATGCAACATCGTCCGGTCTATTAAAATTAATAGACTAATTTGGCAAGGACACTTTGAAAGAATGGACACTGGAGACCCCCAAAGACAGATATTATATCAAAAGCCAGTAGGAACCAGAAAGAGAGACAGGCCAAGATTTAAAGCTCAAGTCGAAGATGACTTGAGTAATCTAGGGGTCAGAAATTGGAAAGCCAGGGCGAAAGATAGGGGGGAATGGAGACTAATTCTTGAATAGGCCAAGACCCACCCAGGATTGTAGAGCTAAAGATGATGATGATGTCCATGTACACCATACGCTAAATAAATAATTTTTTTTTACAAATATAACTTTACAGCCAGTATGTTATTTAGGCCCGGCGCAAATTGAGCACAGCCCAGGCACATCCCACGCGTGGGTTATTTTGTAAAACGTGGTTTTAGACAGCGACGCATATTAAACCCAAACCACGGCCAGGCTACTGCCAGACTTGGTTGGCGTGGATAGAGTTGTGCTAGCAACACAGTTTCGTGGGTCGTGGGTCTCTACCTAACCTTAGTTATTTTTGTTTTGTGTGACCAATTTTTTGTCATTCGGTGAAAATGGAAAAGTTTATTGAAATTGTTCGAAGCTTTAGTGTCTTGTATGATACTAGCAATGAAGATTACATGAGAACAAAACTAATATTTTCTTTATTTGTGCTAAGCGACTCGGATGTAAGTCGTCGTTATAATTATTCAAAAAAATTAATTTAAATTAATTTTTTATTAAATCAAATGAGAAATATAACAAATCGAGAACTAAGGAAAAAAAAACAAATTTTCTTTTCCTAGCAAAATGTTTATGAACACCCAAGATGAAAATTTCAAAATAAAATTTGATGGTACTTTTTCGTGATGCTCATATTGTAATGGCTTTTATACACTGAAATTAAATTAAAAAAGAACATGAAGAAAGTAGAAAAATAATAAAAAATTCTCAAATTTAAATTTATCTCGAAAACAAAATACGATCTGGAATTTTTGTATTTTTTTAGCTCTTCTGTTGTTTATTACGTGATTTCACTTATTTCAACAATATACTATAGTACTATAGTATTTTGTTAGAGGATTCCAACTTAGTACTCTCAGCATTGTAAAAGTTTCCAAGAAATTAATATCTGATGGAGTTTTCAGAACAGCGAAATGAAAGTCGGAATATTCAACGGCATTGTGGCCAGTTACAATATCTGCCTGTTATGCTAATTAGTAATTAGAAAGTCAATATCGGCAAAACCAGCTTATTCAAATTATGGGTATCTACCTGTTATAGTCTTTTATTCAAGGATTTCAATTTATTACCCTTATCATATGTAAAAGTTCTCAAGAAATTAATATCAGGTTTAGTTTTCAATGAAACAAAAATCTAATCTTTAACAGAATTGCTACCATGTAAAATATCTGCTTATTATGCTAATTAGTCATAAGAAAGTCAAATCGGCAAAAGCAGCTTATTCAAATTATATCTATAGTCTTTTGTTGAAGGATTTCAATTTTTTACCCTTAGCATTTGTGAAAGTTTTCAAGATATTTATATTTTCAGATTAGAAATTGTTAATGGGATATTAGGTAAAAATTAAAAGGTCTAGAAAATAAAATCTTTATGTAAACTAATATACTGAAGACAGTCTATCTTTTCGTTGAATGGTATTTGCGAAAACAATCTCCTATGCATAGTCCAGGTTTTTCGTCACAATCAGCACACTTGTAAATTGTGTTTTTCCTAATTTTATGGATAGAAACATATTCTACACAAATATTTAACATGGTCGTGGGCTGTGTTCAATATGCGTTAGTATTGAAAAACGTGTACTTGGACTAGGTTGGACCATACGTGGGCTGCGCGTGGGATATGCGTGGGTGTGCTCAATTTGCGTCGGGCCTTACTAGGATACGAATTAGAATGTTTACTGACAAAGCAGATAACTAGACTATTTTATAAACTGTTTTATGTTGGGCTATATGGCAGGTTGACAGTTAAATAATTGCGGAGTAAAGAAGGGATGGAGAAAAACACAGTCGTATATAATAGTACTCATAAACAATTTATTACGAATTAAATGAGAAACAATACCTAAAGTATAATCATTATAATACATTTATATAATTTTTTATAGAACCTATACAATAATGTAAACATTTGATTTTAACAAAGTATAGCGATATTTTTTGTTATCTAACCAAAAAGAAGAATTGTTCAATCACATTTTAATATATTATTTACTTAATCATTAAATTAAAGTTCAAAGCAATGCCGATATATCCCATACTTTTATTAAACGGTCTTGTCCAACAGTAACCAGCCTTTTGTTTGTTTCGTCAAGGCTCATTGCGACTACACTATGTTTAGCATCGTGAAAGGTTGCTAGAGATGGCCGTCTAAAAATTAAACAATATCATTAGTACATCATTACATATAAAAAGATAAATTATCTTTTAATATCCATCTATTCAGTCTTCGGTGAGAAAATGGTACATTATGTTCCAGCAAGGAAGATGAAGATGCACGATGAAAGTCTGAGTGTGATCTCTTGTGATGAAGGAAAAAGGTAATGTCACAATTCAGAATAACCGGTGATTCACTTTATCCACATTGCACGACTGTTTTCCACAAATTTCTCGATTCCCCTTACATGAAATATTGACTGAATACCTTGACTATATAAAAATGTGCGCTCGGTGTGTAACAAAGGTTCTGATAGAAGTCCAAAAGACAAAACCAATGGCAGCAGCTCTTGATTTGTTGACCCGATATGACAGTAATGATGACAAATTTCTCTACTGCATTGTAATGGGAGACAAAATTTGGGTTTCTTATAAAACTTCTGAAACAGCGACAATGGATGGAACTTGATCATGCAAACTCATCCTCAAAACCCGAAAAACAAAAAACCAAATCTGAACACAAGAAAACTGATGGCAAGCAAAAAGGTTCTTTCGCGTTGTAAGAGATATTCCTCCCCAAACCATTACAGATCCTCCATTGAATAAAGTATTAAACTGTGCGTATTGTTCTCTTGGCCGTCGAATAACTCTCACACGTCTATTTGAGCTATATAAAGAATACCTCGATTAATCAGTGAACAACACGTGCTCCCAGTCATCAACATTTCAGTCAAGGTGTTAAAAATAAAAAATCTGCCACTAATATATATATCACATTAACATTATTGGAAAAACTGAGACCGTGTGCAAAAATATTCTTTGCAGACTTTTAAAATTTCTGATGGTAGGATGACTCGAGCCATAAAAAAGTTATCCCAGAGGAAAAAATGTTAGAAGTACGAAATCACATAGCATTCTTCACTTGTTACCAATCGCATTATACCACCAGATCCCAAAATCCAAATAGAAAATATTTGTCAGAAGATTTAAATATTTGACTGCTCTACAATTTACACAAAGATAAAGCTCAAAGCGAATGTAAGGAATCTGTGGCAGAGCACGTTTATCGTAGAACTTTTAATAATGAGTTCAACTTACATTTTCATGCACCTCACAAGGATCTTCTTCTTCTTGTAGTGCCTATCCGTTTCGGATGTTGGCGACCATCATGGCAATCTGCACTTTGCACTAGGGATGGTTGGAACAGGGATTTTTCAACAACTGTTACAACCTGTTTCAGTTCCAAAAATTATCTGTTTCAAAAAAACTGCTTCAGTTCCAAGTCTAACACTGTGTTATGGCTTGTTTCAGTACCGGTTCGGTTTGTTCCAGAAAGGTTGTTGCATTAACAATAGACCATTGTATTTGTGGTTGTATATTTTGAAAGTTTGAAGTTTTGTCGCGAGTCGACAATTCACAGTTTACAATCATGGTTTATGCGCATGCACATACTTTCCACTCCACTGGAACTGCAACAACCATATAAAAGCACAGCAATGCAACACCGGTCTCTGAAGTAATTGTAAATACACTGGTCTGTTGTGTGATAAAAAACTGTTATATTGGAACAGGAAAACTTATTGATCAATATCAGTTCCAACCTGTTCCAAATAAAAACCTGTTTCGAAAAGAACAGATCCTGTTCCAAAGTGGCATATCTACTTTGCACACTGCTGCTCTAAAAAGATTTGTGGTTGTTGTGTTGAACCACGTTCGTAGATTTTTCAGCCAGGAAATCCTTCGCCTTCCTGGTCCCCGTTTTCCTTCTACTTTTCCCTGCAAGATTAGTTGCAGCAGTCCATATCTTTCGCTGTTTCTCATGATGTGACCGAGGTATTCGATTTTGGCTGTTTTTATTGTGGTTAACAGCTCTTTTTCTTTTTTCATTCTCAACAGAACACCCTCATTAGTAACGTGGTTGGTAAACGACCAGTTGGTATCTTCAGGATGCGACGATAAAGCCACATTTCAAAAGCCTCAATTTTCTTGCAGGTGGCGTCTGTGAGAGTCCATGACTCAACTCCGTACAACAGTATAGGAAAGGTGTAACATCGTAGTAACGATATATGTTTGCTCCATATTACTTAGCTTTTCTGAAAGAATCTGTGTGACTGTTTCTTTTGTGTTGTTATCTTTTAGTCTACTTATATCGCACTTTGTGTTACTATTCTTTTTTGTGACCTTCTTGAATCTAAACCTAAATTTACCAACAACAGGAACATGATCTGATGATACGTCAGCACCTGGGTAACTTTTAACTGATAGGCATCCATTACGAAATCTCTTGTTCACCATTATGTAATCAATTTTATTCTCAAAGTATAAAATGCGATAGTTAAATAATAAACTGAAACAATCACCAGAAAAACACGAAAAATCATAACTTCGGCAGGGCCATGAACTTCATCTACGCAAAGCTGATAAAGCTCGAGAATCAATGAAATTGGATACCGAAAAATCAGCTTTTAATAGATCCTACTATGCCTTTTCTTTTGACTTAGAAAAGTCTTTATCTTTCCCACGTGTAACATGTCAAATGGCCTACTATAAACGTAATTTGTACGTCTACAATTTAGGTTGCCATGAGCTTTCAACAAAAAAGAGATTCATGTATTGTTGAGATGAAGTAATTGGATCTAGAGGTTCGCCAGAAATTGGCGCATGTTTAGTCAAACACATACAAACACGAGCGTCAGAAGCAAAACATGTCTTTATGTATAGTGATACGTATACCGATCAAAACAGAAATTGGAAAAAAGCCCAAACTTAACAACTGGTGTTAAGTGAAGACAACAATATTGAAATCATAGACCAAAAGTTTATGCAAAGTGATCATTCCTTTCTTCCCAATTACTGTGATTTTGCTTCTATCGAGAATTACAGCAAAACAAAACAAACTTTTTGTCCCACTGATTGGTACAGTATTATTGCCCAGTCAAGGAAGAAAAATCCTTTCCAGCTTACCGTTATGACGAATATTGATTTTTTGTCTGTGGACACATTGTTGAAGTCAATCCCTAAAAGCAAGAATGACACGGAAAAACACGCAGTATCATGGTTAAAAATGTCATTCTTTCAGCTAGACCTAAAGCCGGGATCTAAAAAAGGACGACCAGGATCTTTAGCTAATATAGATCAACCAAAACTATACAATGGACCTCGACCTGTGACCAAAGAGAAGAAAAATGACATGAAAGACCTTTTCCCTTTTATTCCACCCATTCATTATCCCTATTTTGAGAATCTGTTTACTTTAGAAGATGCTCAAGATATAGGGCCACTGCAGGTAGATGTCAATATTGAAAATGAGTAAAAAACTGTATAAGTTAAGTGTTGTTAACTGCAATATTAAATGTATGTTAAATAAATTGTTTACTTATTTAACAAGCCTTTCTTAATACATTTACAAAAAAAATATATATTCCTGAATTTTTAATAATAATTCCAGTTAAACATTACATAACTCACAACAAGGTTAATGTGAGTTATACCACTTGTGGTTTAAGGGTCTCATATATATATATATATATATATATATATATATATATATATATATATATATATAACGGTAATATAAATCTAATAAACATGCATACATAGATACTTACTCTTTATCTTTAAGTGCATTATGACACGGTTCACACACTCTAACGGCAAATTCGAAACCCATGGAAGGAATGTTTAACCTTCCTGTCGAGCACTTTTCGCATATGGCTTTACCGCAATGGCGGCAATGGTGTTGCCTTAATCCTAATTGTCTTTGGTCCATCATGGCACGAAGGTTCCAGAAGAAAGGCCTACCGCAAAGTTGACACAGGTCCGATTCCACCCACTCGGGAGTTTCCTGTCGTGGTTGGTTCATATCCCAGAACACTATTACATTATCTTCTCCGGCACTAATTAATTGTTTGGTACTCGTTGAATAGTAGAGACTAGAAACCTAAAACAAGCGAAAGTCAGAATATGTTGCGAGGACACTAAACGCAAAAAGAATGTGTTTACTTAGGATTTATTAAGGGGCTATACACATTACAATTTAGACTACAATGAATCGAAGTAGGGATGAGATCGTTTAACGTCATTATTTCAGTTTGTTGTCTGTAACCATTCAGGAGACTGTCAGTACCTTATGCTTCGCAACAATCTGAATCAAAAAGTGCATATTTTACCCCTTCACAAATCACATACATAAATAATAACCAAAAATTTGCTATTGCACGAACTGGCGAGTTGTTGCTGACATCGCTCTTTATAACTCAGAGTTGGTTTTAAAAAGTCAGTAATTAGTGCATCAAATCGGCCTTTTTACCCACAGTTTGGGCTAGAGAGCTTCAGAAAATTTAATTCAGTGTAATCACAAGTATGTTCGCTGGACACTGCCCATTCAGAATCAAATAATCTAGGTGGACAGAGCAACACAACAGATTTGGCGAAAGTTCAAAGGCAGCGGCTGGACTGTTTAATTTGAGTGCCCTTTTTCTTGATGATTAAAATGTTAACTAAGGTAAAAATATTAAGAGATTACATCCCAAACAAATTACAGAGAAGAACATAGATTAATTAGTTTGATGAGCCACATACTTTAAGTGCTTCTTACTATCAGTTACTCGCGCATACACACCAAATTAGAAGAACACCTAAGTGAAGTTTAATTTGGATTTAGAACAGGACTCGGAACGAGGGAAGCACTTTTCAGTTTGCAAGTTCTGATACAGAGAGCCAGGTATAGAGTGATGATAGTGGTAAGATGGTGATGAGAGTGGTCATAGAGGGCGATGTGTAGGTATGCATGTTCTATTTATTTCGAGAAGGCATTTGACAACGTATCACATCAACAACGGCTTTCTTAGAAGTCTTGATCTTTTGGATTGAAACATAGAAATGAGGAATACACAAAAGGTCTTTTAAGGGGCAGTGTGGAAAGTCTACAAGGTCCATCGAGCTCTTTGAAATCTAGAACCTACTTATCCCTTGTGATTTTTTGCAGTTCCGTCTATCTTGACATAGTTTCTTACTTTTTAGAAAATAAAAAATATTCTAAAATGTATCTCAAAATCGGTAAATACTGTACGACATATGTGAAGAAGCCCCATGCTCGATTGTTAGTAATGATTTCTAGGTTAGCAAATTATATGTGTGCTGAAGAATAAAAAGATCTCCCGAATTCAAGTCTGCTTTCTTTCAGATCACGTATTTATAAAACAATCTTCATATATGTAGGCCAATATACTTTTTATTATACATGATACTGATAATTTATTTTTGATAATTTTGAGTGAATGGAATAAACTTAAAAAATAATAAACAGAAATTTCTTATTTGTTTTTTACTCTACACTTGCGATTCCAGCTGTTTTCACCATTTATAAATTAACTCACCTTATTATGATGTCCCTGTAATTCATAAGCGTGGCCTTGTTGACCTCCGATATCCCACACAATCACCGTATGATCGAAAGATCCACTAAACAACATATTCCTATCACTGTCCCAAGATAGTGACCGAATAGAACCTGAATGTCCTTTTAATGTTGTGATCACTGAGGCTCCGTTATTATCTAGTTTTAACATAGTTATTTGTCCTGAGTAGTCGCCAACAAATGCGTGTTTTGTTTGGACGTCGAATCTAGTATTTGAGTTAAGGAAAATATATAGAAAAGCAAGTTAAAAGGACTCAATAATGATGGTTGTACATTGTACAAGCTTTTAATAATTTCAATCCTTTATTCAATTTGTTTATCCAGCTCTACTTATCGTTTAACTAACACCCTAAATACTGAAATAGACTCATTTTTTTTATAGTTCGGTTATCAATAATCAGTTGGATATTCTCCATGTTACGTTTGCTAATAACTAAGTGTTACGAATATTGTACAATATTTACTACTTATATCAAAGCTCTGGAAGGACTGAGTCTTTTTGATAGTTACGACTGTTTCAGATTATTTTAGAATACACCAAATTTTCAGCTCAATTTACCGTAAAAAAATACAACAGAACTAGTTAATAAAATAAAACAATTTCAATTACCTTCATCATCATCTTTGGCTCGACAATCCTCTGTGGATCTTGGCCTGCTCTAAGATTCGTCGCCATTCTGTTCGGTTTTTGGCAACATGTTGCCATCTTCTGATTTTTAATATTCGTAAGTCGGTTTCCACTCCATCTAGCCACCTAATTCGCGGTCGGCCTTTGCTTCTTTTTCCTACAGGTGTTCCTGTGGTTAGCTTTTGAGCAATCGTATTTTCTGGCATTCGTATTATGTGTCCAGCCCATCTAAGTCGCTGTGTTTTAATAAACGTTATGATATCTGGCTCATCAAAGAGCTGATACAATCCAAATTATATCTTCTGCGCCACTGCCCTTGGTCGTTTACAGCTCCAAATATTTTGCGGAGTATTTTACGCTCAAATATTCCCGAAAGTCTTTCATCTTTCTGCGTTAGAATCCATGTTTCTGCTCCATATGTGAGGACCGGCCTCAGCAATGTTTTGTATATAATAATTTTAGTTCTTCTTTGAATGTTTCTTGAGTGGAAATGCTTTTGGAGTCCATAGTATGCCCTATTTGTAAGATTTATTCGTCTTTTGATTTCTTCGCTTGTTTTATTGGTAGCAGTCAATAGCGACCCAAGGTATGTGAAGTTGTCAACACGTCCAAAGGTATGACTTCCAAAGACTGTTTCTCGTTCCTCATTTCCTATCGGATCCTTTGTAACCAACATGTACTTGGTTTTGTCTTCGTTGATGACTAGACCGACCTGTTTCGCCGCTGTTTCCAATTCTAGGAGATATTGCTCAACATCTCGCTTGCTACGCCCTACTATGTCAATGTCATCAGCATATGCTAGGACTTGTATCGATCTATTGTAAATAGTACCGCCATACCTAATTCGTGTATCTCGGGCTGCCTTTTCTAAGGCAATATTAAATAGGAGGCAAGCCAGAGCATCCCCTTGTCTGAGTCCATCCTTTATCTCAAAGGATCTAGAACTCTCTCCCTGTATTCTAACAGTGGCTTCTAAGTTAGACATTGTCATTCTCATTAGTCGGATAAGTTTCTCTGGTATACCAAACTCATGCATTGATTGGTATAGCACTGTTCTCTTGACACTGTCGTATGCGGCCTTGAAGTCGACGAATAGGTGATGGGTTTCAATATTGAATTCTAATGTTTTCTCGAGAATCTGTCTTATTGAATGAATCTGGTCAATTGTTGATTTTTCTGGAGTGAATCCAGCTTGATATTTACCAACTATGCCCACTGTGTAAACTTGCAGCCTTTCGTAGAGAATATTTGCTAGTATTTTGTAAGCAGTTGTTAACAGGGTTATACCTCTATAGTTGTCACACTGGAGCTGGTCACCTTTTTTATGTAACGGGCATATCACGCCTTGAGACCATTCACAGGGCATAAGGGCAGTAGGGCATCGCCACCATTCTTGTAGAGCTCACTGCAAATTTGATCAACTCCTGGTGATTTATTATTTTTAAGCTTTTTAATGGCTTGGGCAACGTTTTCGATGGTAGGTGGTCTTTCGTTTGGGTTGAAAGGATTCCAATCATTTCGATTTGCTAGGGTGATATCTGCTTCTTCGATATGATGGCTTCAATTACCTAATAACTCAAAATTAATTTCATTTGACGTCAAAAACCTTTTTCCTAGTATTCCTCTTACAGAAAGTTTTTTTTCTAGTAAAAGATCTTTTTAAAAAGATCACAAAGATAAAAGTGGAAACCAGAGGAAAACCCAGTACCTTCTGCTCGATTACATATTATTATACAGGCAAATGTGCAAAATAGGCCTCCCTCATTTTTGTCCATTGTGCTCTATCTTGAGCACTTTCATCCAATTTCTTGACATAGTTGCGTTCTTGTATGTATTCTAAAGTAACCTTGTGTATCGGTAGTCAATGCGACATGTTTGTAGTGCTTCCAGGATTCTGTCAAATTCTACCATGTCAAAGGCAAATATATTAAGAACAAAAGCCAAAAAAAGCAATTACACAGCGGTGTATACAAACTTATATGTGACGACTGTCCAAAATCTTACATCTGTCAAACTGGTAGAACTTGAATCAAACGTATACCAGAACATAAAAGGGTTTTCAATAATAGAAAAAGAGACTTTACGTATGCACTTCACCTTCTAGACCATAATCATTCTTTTTTTGACGAATTTTAAACTTGAACGAATTTAGATATTATAGATCCGAGATATTTATATTCATTGCATGTTTTTGTGTTTCTCATTTCTAACTCTAGATCTTCTTTATCATCTCATATTTTAAGATACTCCGTCTTTGACATATTCACATTGAGGCCCCATTTTTCATATATTTTCTTTAGTTTTCTAATCATGTAGTCCATGTCTTCCTTATCATTCGCTACGACTACCTGATCATCTGCGAAAAATAAAGTTGTTAGAAATTTACCACCGCCTATGTCTATTGATACTTGTTTCCTCCATAATGGTGTTTCCACTGTTTCAGATCTATTAACTGTAAGTTAGATTGATTCTTTTCTTCCCCCGGAGAGACTTTATCACCTTCCACGCTTGCCCGACTCTTGTTCCACCCATAAACCTATCCACCTCTGCACATCTTCGACCCCACAACTCATTTTTACTTTTCACTACTTCTCTTTTTACTCTCCTACTCTCGATTTAATTTTTTATGTATCGTGTACTCTTTTTCCTTTCTCATTGAAATCCATTTTTGATAAGCAGTCAAATTCTTCACATACAAAATAAAGGACCTTAAGCTATCTTTATTAGAATCTATGGAAATCAAAAAATTAAAAAATACAGACATAATTCTTCTTCTTTTGGTGTCTATTCGTTTCGAATATTGGCGATCATTATGGCTATAATTATTTTCTTAAGGTCTTCTAAGTTGTCCGCAAATACTATGGTGTCATCTGCATATTTGATGTTGTTTAGCTGGTAACCATTTAGTAGAATACCTTTTTTAGTTTCGTACAAAGCTTCGACAAATATTCTTTCAGAGTACTGATTAAAGATTAGAGGAGACAAAATACAGCCTTGCCTCACTCCACGCATGATTTTCACATAGTTAGTGTGTTCACCTTCAATTATGAGATTTGCTGTCTGATTCCAGTAAAGATTTCTAATTATTTTCAGATCCTGGTTGTTAATTCCTGCTTCTTTTAGTATTTGCATCATCTTGGCGTGCTGTACTCGATCAAATGCTTTCTAGTAATCAACCAGACATGAGTATACGTCGCAGTTGACATTTCTGCATCTCTGGTATAAGACTTGTACTGAGAACAAAGCCTCTTTAGAACCAACAGCATTTGTGAACCCGAACTGGTTGGGGAAATTTGACTTTTACAGAGCTTGTAGATTCTCTTATGAATTATCTTTAGGAACAATTTTAGGAGATGACTCACGAGGCTTTTATAGTACTATAGTACTAATTTCTCTTCAATCCTGACCCCCAGGGAAAGTGTAGTGGTCGACGTGATGTCGTGTATTGTCCGTCTCCAGAGATCTCTGTCTCTGGTCATTTCTTTTAATTCATGCATAGGTCTTTGGCATATTCCTGTAATTTGATCTATCCATCTTGTTGGGGATCTTCCGCCTTCTACCTTTCCTTGTATTATGAGTCTTTCCATGTTTTCTGTGTTTGCTCTCATAACATGCCCAAAATATTTTAATTGTTGGAGATGGACTTTACTAGAGAGTCGTTGGCTAACTTTTAGCTCTCTTAAAATTGAATTATTTGTTCTACGGTCGGTCCAAGGAATTCGTAACATTCGTCTCCAACAGAACATTTCAGTAGCGTCTATCTTTATTTTCTTCGATTGTCTCATAGTCCAAGATTCACATCCGTAGGTCAGTATTGGGAATATTAAGCAGTTGATCAACCTCGTCTTTATCGCTCTTGAAATTTGACAGTCCTTCCATATTTTGGTCATGTTTGCTGTGGCAACTTTTGCTACCTCACTTCTACGTTTAATCTCTTCTTGTAATGACCCTGTGTTTGTGATTAATTATCACAGATATAAGTATGAGCTCACAACCTCGAACCGGTCAATTGTGGTTATGTGTGGATGATTGTTGTGTAGTCTATCCACTATTATGATCTTTGTCTTTGATATGTTTAATTGCAGACCAAAAATTTGACTTTTTGACTATTTGCAAGAAGAGCTGTGTCATCTGCGAAACGTAGGTTGTTTAGTTTATGACCATTTATTGAGATGCCCTTTTCCCATCCTTCAAGTGCTCTTCGCATAATATACTCCCCATATATGTTGAATAATTGTGGAGATAGTATACATCCTTGTCTGACACCCCGTTCTGGGTGAAAGTCGTCCGAAAGTGTGTTAAGTACTTTAACTGATCCAGTAGTGTGTTCATATAGTTCAATTATAAGCGTAATTAGATGTTGTGGTACGCCTACTTCTTTTAGTATTCGCCATAAGTGTCTCCACTTGACCCTGTCGAACGTTTTACGGTAATCTATAAAACATATGTATAGTGGGATGTTGAATTCCCTAGATTTCTCGATTATCTGTCTTATATTCAGCAGGTGTTCTCGAGTGCCTCTACCTTTGGTAAATCCAGTTTGCTCTTGTGGAATTTCTCTTTGGAGTAATGTTTTCAGTCTCTCATTGATTATAAGTAGCATTATCTTGCTGGCATGGGATATAAGAGAGATAGTTCTATAATTGTCGCATTTATGGAAGCTGCCTTTTTTATGTATGGTCGTTATTGTAGATTTTGTCCAGTCTTCAGGCCATTGTTTGGAATGCCATATTTGGTTACAGAGTAAATGAAGTAACTTTACGCCGGTTTCTTCTGTGGCTTTAAGCATTTCTGCTGTTATCATATCTGGACCTGGTTCTTTGTTATATTTGAGCTTGTTGATAGCCTGTCTTACTTCATTTTCGAGTATATCAGTTCTTCTTCCACCTCGTCAGAGATTTGGCTAACAAGCTCTTGGCGTTGATCATCTTTATATAGGTCCCTGCAATACGATCTCCATGTCTCTGCTATGTCTTCTCTATTTGTTCTCAGGGTTCCAGGTTATCTTCAATGGCCCAAGTTCTGGCTCTGAAGTCTCTTCTCAGGTAGCGTATTTTTCTAAATAGATATCTCGGCTGATTATTCTGACCATGTCTCTCAATTTCTTTGCATATACTTTGATAGTACTGTTTTTTGTCGGCCTTACATCTTCGTTTTATTTCTTTATTGAGGTTTCTTAAACTAGCTTTTTCCCTTTCACTATGTACATCACTTTTATATATATAGTACTAATATCTTCGCATTTTTTGGCTCCTGTATTTCTCCAGAGTTGTATATGTTGTTGAATATCTTTGCGATTATTGCTACTGATTCGTTGCCCATTAGTTTGAGTAGTTCTGCTTGTATATTATCAGGGCCTGCCGCTTTGCCATCCTTTAACTGTTTTATTGCGGAATAAACTTCCTGCTGTAATATTCTTGGTCCATAATTTACCACTTCTTCTAACTCAAAGGTGTTATCTCTTTGGTCTTCAAATAGTTTTTCTAGATATTCTTTCCACGTTCTTATTTTACTCTGCTTGTCCAAGATGATGTTTCCGTTAGAATCAGTTATATGAAACTTTTGATAAGTTGAACTAATTTCTCTGGTCCCCACGAGTTCGAGTTATCATTCGAGTCATTATTCGAGTCGACTGTAGTAAGTATTCTAGTTTCATTGATAAAACTTATGCATATTGAGTTTTTACATTAACGATTATATTTTATAAAAATAAACTACAATTTTAATTAAAGAAATACCTTATTATATTCGACATGCCGATTTCCATTCCGAAAATCGTTCTCAAAATACAAATTAAACAAATTATTTTGTTTTGATTTTCGAAGTGAAAATCTAGACGTCAAATATACAGTATTTCTTGGTATAGCGTTGAAAAAATGAGTTTTTATTTATAAAGAATAAATTTATGGAGACTGGAAACATTTTATCAGAATTTTATAGGTCTACAATATTCTACACACGTATCACTTAATTATTCCCCCATACCTGTCGAATTGGGAAATATCTCCATCGCTCACAACTACAATCAAAGAATGAAAGGTAGCAATTATCATAAATTTAACATATTTATTGTTAAAAGGATACTGTAATGCCGTACACCACGCTTCTGCATTAAAAGTTCCGATATTTCTTCCAGTCTGTGTACAATTAAACGAAAACACTTTATCCCTACCAACACTCAGTACCCATTCACAATTAATTGCAAAAATTATATCGGTTACTCGAGCTTGGTGGGCTAAATATTCCTTTTCGGGCATCATCCTATTGAAATCCGAGGCGAGGGTGAATTCTGAAACTGTTCCATTTTCTTGGCCGATAAAAAGTTGTCTGGTTTCCACGGTGTAATAAATAGATGTGGTCCCGCTAGGCATATATTGACAAATACTTGGCCAGTACTGACCTGAATCTCGTTTTAACCATACTCGAACAGTTCTGAAACAAAATTTATGTAAATAAGCAAAAAATGCATTACTAATTAAATCTATCAATATAAATCTAAGATGACTATATGACTATGAGTCTATGACTATTGATAGTCATTGACTATTGATAGTCATTGAGTATATGGTTTAGACAAGTATATAGACAATCTATGACTATCAATAGTTATGACTATCAATAGTCATAGACTATTAACATATGATTTTTTAGATTGACTTCTCTTGTTTGTACTTTATTTCATCTCAACCGATCACTGGAGGGAAAATGAAGTTCTCAACCACCTTTTCCTTTCAGTTTTTGGTTTTTACAGACAGACAGTTTGTCGACCAAATGTGTAATATTTTTTAAATAAACCGCTCTATTGTACTGGAGTTGGTAGTGTTACGAACATGCATTCAGTGTGGCCCGCCTAACAGTTGCATCTCGAAGCATCTCGGGCATCGAGAATCATCGATAGATCTTTCGACCGCAAGAGAACAATCCGTCAGGTATTTGACTGAATTAGAATTAGAGGTGGGAATGTTCTAGAATATAGTAACTTTGGTATACAGGGTGAGTGGGGAGGAACGCACCAAACTTTAAGACTGTATAATATACGTAAAAATAAGTAAAAATAACTCATATGTTGTTATTCGATTTTCATTTGTTTTCGAGTTATAGCGATAATAACACAAAGTTGTAACTTAACATTAATTTAATGTTAAATGTTGTTATAATAAATTTTCAAAAATACCACCATTGACCTGTAAGCATTTTCTGCTTCGTCTATGAACATTCAACGTTGCTCTTCTGATTGCGTCATGGTTTGCTCTAATTGTGGCTGCAACATTTTTAATGCGTCGAATTAGTGCATCGCGAGTGTCGACTTTTACCTTGTAAACTTCATTTTTAAACCAGCCCCATAAAAAATAGTCTAATGGTGTTAGGTTTGGAGACCTCGGAGGCCAACTAATAGGACCATTGCGACCAATCCAACGCCTTGGAAATTTTGTATTTAAATGTTGCCTGACCTGACGAGCAAAATGTGCAGGAGCTCCATCGTGCTGATAATACATTTGCATTCTGATATTTAGTGGAATGTTCTGTAGGAGTCCTGGCAATTCATTCTGTAAAAAATTCAAGTACTCCTCTCCTGTAAGGCGGTTCTCAAATATGAAAGGGCCAATTAAATAACCGTCGATCACATCACACCACACGTTTACCGAAAATTTGTGCTGAAAACTAGCTTCAATTGTTGCATGTGGATTTTCATCTGACCATACATGTGCGTTGCGGCTATTATTAATACCGTCTCTGGTGAATGTTGCTTCATCGGTAAAAAGTATGCGGGATATAACACGACGATTATTATTTATCCATCGACAAAATTGCATACGGCTGGCATAATCTTCTGGTTGTAGGTGCTGTAGACGTTGTAGGTGGTATGGATATAAACCTTGCTCGTGAAGTGTGTTAATTACTCTCGTTTGAGGAATGGCTAAATGAGTACCGATTCTTCGTGAGCTGATCCCTGGATCATCTTCTACTGAATCCAGAATATTTTGTATTTCTTATAAACTTTGTCGGGGAGCACGTTCCGATATTATTTTATAACTAGGAAGCGTTCCGGTCTCGCATAGTTTGTTGAAAACTCTAATAAATACATTTTTATCTGGAGTTCTTCGATTTGGAAACCGTTGACGATATTCTTCAACAGCAGCTCTACCGTTTCCATTACAAAAGCCATAAAGAAACACCATATTTGCATAATCACTATTTGAATAAGTATGTGGCATTTTTGCAACAACTTTTTTTATACAAACTGTCAAATAGACATTAAATCACGTTGACGCTACACTATTATGACAGTTAACTAATTATTAAACGAATCACAGATACCTGTTACAGCAATGTGATAAGTAGCAGTAAAATTACAACTTTGTGTTATTATCGCTATAACTCGAAAACAAATGAAAATCGAATAACAACATATGAGTTATTTTTACTTATTTTTACGTATATTATACAGTCTTAAAGTTTGGTGCGTTCCTCCCCACTCACCCTGTATATATGTAACGGGGTTAGGAGTAAGTTTAGTTGATAAGAGGATACCGAACTGTAAAGTTATAAATAAATATATTTATATAAATTCGAACCGCTCGTTTTATTTAATCACGCTACAGTAGTAATACGCCTTATAGTTCTGTCACTCGTTGACCTCTTGGCATCTGTCTTTTCACGTTGTTGACGTTTAACACATGTTGCCTTCATTTCACCGGCAGCACTCGACAAGCTCTCAGTGGTAACTTCATTATTACTTTTAAATTACTAAATTTTTAATTAATCATTAGAATAATGCTACCTAAAGTTAAAATGAAATCTTAATTATTGATTTACTGTAGGAAGTGCATTCTTGGATCTTTTAGTTCTTTTCCACACTAATTGTGTTTTTTATATATGATAAGTTTTTTACTTATAATTTTTTTTACATACATGTACAACTACCACATGTTTTTTGCTGTGCTAATTTTATGAAAATTGTTAACTATATTTAGTTCAATTTAGTGATTATACAACATAATTATACAATATCCATTGTCGTAAGCTTCTTTACAATTGTTAATATCACTGACTGCTACATATCTTTTTGAGGTAACAGACTTAATAACTTTTCATTGGATGTTAGGTTTTTCATATTGTTCTTTTTAGATTTACTGATGATGCTACCAAATTGGATAGCTAAACGTTTTCAATAAATGGATGAAGTAGCCATCATCTTTGTCTTTTTTCTCCAATTTTTATTTTTTAATTTTAATATTATCAAAATCCATAATATGGTCTTTGTCTATTACATGCTCTGCTAAAGCACAAGATGGTTTCTTAATTCTGCAATCACTTTTGTGAGAAATAATGCGATTTGAGAGATTTCATCCAGTCTCACCAATATACTCAGCTTCACACTGAGTACAAACAATGCTGTATACTACATTTGTTTTATCTAATTTGTCTATAGGATATTTAGTTTTAGAATATAAAGATGAAATGGTTTTGATGTTCTTTGTTGCTATTTGATATTGTCAATAACCTTTAGTGTTTGTATTAATTTAGGAGTTAATGATAGTATAAAAGGTAGTGAATGATAATATATGTTCTGATTGTTAGATACAGTGTTTTGAGATTTAGCAAAAAATGGTGTTAAGTTATTTATTTTTAATAAATTAGAAAAAAGCATCCTATGTAGCATATCTGGAGGATAAGAGTTTTCAATTAAAACATTTTTTAACAAATGAAGATCTGCTTGTAGATAGTCTGGATGAGAAAGTTTAAAACACGTTCCTATACCAGATATATTATCATTCACTACCTTTTATACTATCATTAACTCCTAAATTAATACAAACACTAAAGGTTATTGACAATATAAAAATAGCAACAAAGAACATCAAAACCATTTCATCTTTATATTCCAAAACTAAATATCCTATAGACAAATTAGATAAAACAAATGTAAAGCACGTGGTGTTCGTGTGTATTAAGGTATAAAAACGCTTATTAAAAGCTTAAAATTTTTTATTATAAAGAAGATCTTTTCGAATTGTATCATTCCATCATCAGTTTAATAAAAAAGGTTGTTAAAAAACATTGTGTGGCCACATAAAAAACATTCGGTGGACATCTGGATTTAAAAAATAATATTCTTCGTGTTATTTATTCAGGTAAATGCAATAAACCCTTGACTTGTGTAATGTAAAAAATGAAACTGGGGGCATCTTATATGACCCCCTGTAGTTGGTGAAGTTTTATTGACTTACATTACCTTTACCTTACATTACATTTGGGTAATGTAAGTCAATAAAACTTCACCAACTACAGGGGTCATATAAGATGCCCCCAGTTTCATTTTTTTACATTACACAAGTCAAGAGTCTATTGCATTTACCTGAATAAATAACACGAAGAATATTATTTTTTAAATCCAGATGTCCACCGAATGTTTTTTATGTGGCCACACAATGTTTTTTAACAACCTTTTTTATTAAACTGATGATGGAATGATACAATTCCGAAAAGATCTTCTTTATAATAAAAAATTTTAAGCTTTTAATAAGCGTTTTTATACCTTAATACACACGAACACCACGTGCTTTGTATTCAACAGGTATACTAGCCACTCCTGGATATCTCCACTTCATGGTTTGTTCCAGTTTCACTTTTAAAAACAAATGTAGTATACAGCATTGTTTGTACTCAGTGTGAAGCTGAGTATATTGGTGAGACTGGAAGAAATCTCTCAAATCGCATTATTTCTCACAAAAGTGATTGCAGAATTAAGAAACCATCTTGTGCTTTAGCAGAGCATGTAATAGACAAAGACCATATTATTATGGATTTTGATAATATTAAAATTTTATATAGTGAAAGTAATAAATTTAAAAGAACTTTTTTGGAAATGGTTTGTATTAGCAAAAGTGATAATAATTTAAACAAAAGGTCAGAAATTCAAAATCTAAGCAAAATTTATAATTATATTATTTCTATGTAATTTATATATGCAATCAGTAAAATATCACATTTTGAATTTTCCATGTATTTGTTACATTTTTTCAGGCATCTATCAATGGTGAATAAATCTTCTTCTTTTTTGTTACTAAACAAAAAAGAATTTTTTAAACAAAAATTTTATTTTTGACATTATGTCAAAAATAAAAATTTTTAAGTTGGTATTTACGACATTTAGGCTGAATTTTTGTTTACAAATTCAATTGTTTTTGTTAAGAAACTTTATCAAAATTTATTTCAGAGAAACATTTATTAGAATAGAACATTTTTTTAATAATATTTTTTGTAATAATGTTAGCAGCAGTTTTATATAAATAACTAATTTTATTTCGTGAGTTAACAACAACATTATTTATTTCTAGTTCAACTTTGTAAGATATTTTGTATTTTTTAGAAGCTCTTGATAAAAATTGTAATCACAATTGAAAGCTCGAGTAAAAAATAGTCAACAA